TTTATAAACACGTGAAAATATCTGAAATATTTGTAAGGTTCGTTCTTTAAGTCATTCATGCTGTAATTTGTTTTCAATGTTTAAATATTTAAGTTTTTATTAATAAGATAAGTATAAATTGAATTATATATTTTTATTTACTGCTCTATGATATTTGTTATCTTTTTTATTACTGTAAAACATTAAAAAGTTTAAACATGAGATAAGAAAGTAATTACATTTTATATTTTTACATGATATTTGATTATATTTCTTTGTTAAAACTCTATACAGCATACTAATATAGTTTTTATCTCATATGCATAAATTAAATATTACATTATTCTATTCAGATGATGGATATGGATGGAGAATGAGAAAGGTTTAATAAATAAATTATTAGGTATCAATTACGATGGACATTAACATTAGATACATATTATACAAGTGTTTAAATATAACCAAATATGATACTTAAATATTCATGATACACTTATTGAATTAGTTAATGCAGTTACCATTATTAAGTAAAAAAAGTATAATATATCTTATCAGTTAATATTGTTAAGATAGGCACACATAGGGAGTGTTGTTGCCAGAGGGTGCACCCCCAGACTTCAAATTAGCACTCCTAGTTCTCCGTAAAAATTAATTCAGTATTTCACCRAWCATTTGTAAGTTATATTGGTGTATTGGGTTGGAAATGATTTTTTTTCTATTACAAATAGACAATAGTTTATAAATTCACAATTAAAATAGTATTGTATGAATGCATGTTTCATTGTTCTAAGCTATGCATAGATTGAAAAACTGGTTACGTACCAGAATGAGTGAAGAAAGGTTTAGTAAGCTATTTACTCTTAGCATAGAGAGAGAGAGAGAGAGAGAGAGAGAGAGAGAGGGAGATCTTAGCAACAAAATAGATGAAGAAAAAAAATTAAAAAAAAAAAAACTATTGATAATGTGATATGGAGAAAGTAAAGGTATATTTGATTAGTGAATTCAAAGTTAACTTAATTTAAGGATTTAAATAAAAACAGATTTGTAAATCTATCTTTGATGTGATAATATACAAAAAAAAATGAGTTTTGTTCTTCTATGAAGGGGGAAGGGTTAGGTTAAATTCTATTGCTTAAATGTGGTAAGTCTCAATAAAGGCCTKAAGACACCACCAATTCTCTAATTTGTAAACCTTAAAKAGTAATTACATAATACAATGTATCTAGATAGTGTGTTCCTAATTTAACTAGATAGCATCTATCATTCCAAATAAGCAATTACTAATTTGTTTTCAATTGTAGGAATTATAATCAGTTGAGTACGTAAAGATTAGATGATTGGTTGAGAACAATATTATAGGTAAAATATGATGGACTAATAGTTTAAAAAAAGCAAGAGACAGAAGAAAATTGTTGTAACATAACCTACCTACATATAGCATTGCCATAGGTAAGAAGTATAATAATTGATCATCTTAAGGATTCAGACATACAAAGCACTGAAATTAATTAGTAATATATTATTAAAAAATAATTTGAGCAGTAGGTGTTTACAAAGAGATAGGTAAGAAGATTATTATGTGGCGAATCAATGCTAGTTTAAGGAACTCAAGCTATCTATAATAGTTTAAATTTGTGTCACCGATAAAAATGGGGGGCTTGTTAACATGGCATTTGCTCACATGGTCATTGGTGCACGTCTCCATCCTGTTGCATGGGGAGGGGGGTAAAGTTCCGAAACGTCTGGGGCGACGGGTGTCGCGAGGGGTTGGTGGGACCGGTGAGTGGAGAGGTATTGCTGCACACCATGTACCTGCATTTTGTTGATGACCTTCCATCCATCCTCGACTCCCAAAATGGGTATGTACTTGGACTCTTTGGGCAACAGCAGTTGATCCAGCACTTCCAACGTGCCGTTCTCGTACTTAATGGCCTGCAGGGTCATCGTCACTGTCGAGTTGTGCGTCGCCGTCGTCGAGCAACTACTGTATGCCCACCGTTGCTCGATGTCAACTGACAGCTACTTAGCACCAGCGACAGTGATTTGGGCAGACTGCCGTGTCCGGCGGGCCGATTCGCGCGGGCTTTGTCGTCGTCGTCGTGATTTTCGTTGCCAGTCACACGACGTCACACACGTTCAACACGTACATAAACACTCAACAGCTGCCGCCGCCGCCACCACTACTGGCACTAGTGCACTACTATTGCTACAACTATATAGTGACAGTCTACTACAACAACTAACACTAAGTACTAGTTACTAAGCGTACGACCACTGACTGCAGTGATATGATAGCGTCTCGATCRCCGGTGCGCGCTGTGGACAACTACTTATAATTATTATTGCAATTTGCAATATTGCAACAGCGGCCGACGTCGTCGGTACGCACACCAAATGTGTTGTGTTTCGTCTGCGGCRACAAACGAGAGGCGAGACGGCGCTGTCTCCGTTGGCTGGCCGGCAAGATTCGGTTGGCTCGCTGTTCGTCCGCCGATTATTTCGTTATTTATCATCGACTACGAGTGATGGCGGAGGTGGCGGTCGGTGGTGTGTACGCACTACGCACACACGACGGTAAATCCGAAGCCGCGCACGAGTCGTGGTGTACCGTGTACGGCGTTCGCAGTTCGCTGCCGTCCCGTTATCACCCGGTTGCTCGGATTTCCCGACGCGGTTTCGCGGCCACCGGCCAATGGGCTCGGTGCGCGCGCTAATCAACAGTTCCTGTTGGCCCGGGCACCGGTCCGATAACAATGATGATGTAAATAGTCCAAAGAATTGTGAAACGCGGCTGCACAAGCCGAAGCTCTCCCGCGACGGTGTTTATCACACGTAGCGGCRTTTTCTTATCAATATCAAACCACTGCCGACGACGATGGACGGACGAACTACGGAGGTTAATTTCACTTTTCATTCGAGTTGAATTTTATTTTTTTTTGTCAGTTCTCACTCCTCACTACAGTACTACTACTACACCGACTTACCGTTCAGGTATCGTGGTGGATGATATTTGTGGCATTTGTGCTACACGCACACTCCGACTTGTCCTGTATCCCGTTACGGACGATCGTCGTCACGGCACCGGTGGGTGGGAATTATTGACACGGTCTTGTTGCTCGACGAGCCCCCTCCCCTATCCCATGTATTCCCTTTAGATTAAATCTAAAAACTATTCTGAAATCCTCACGTTCAAGTACCTACATGCTACTCGGGTACTTAGACGTCGCCTAGACGACACACCTGTTGTGGCCGAATGCCGACTAGTTGTTGTATTTGTAGTTACTAGTATACTTATACTAGTTGTAGTTGTTGTAGAAAAATAGGATTAAGTAGTAGTCGTCAAATTCGTGTAATTTAGGTACTTATTTCGTTTACGCCGAACTGATACATACGTACTACAGTTGTTTAKAGTATAGACTACCAGAAGTCAACCGGTACGTATATACTAAGTGTTTTCCCTGCCCCCGTCAACCGCCACAACAACCCGTTTCCGAAAACACGTCGTAGTGTTGTATTGGTGATACATTTTAATATATTACAGTGTATTAGTACACACGCGCTGGATCACGACTGGTATAGTGGTATACTGGTATGTAGTTTTAAGTGTGCATAAAAATATAGTAGTGTTTATTTCAGTCTTTTGYATCAGATACCCCACCTTGACACAAACGTGTTTTTATTAGGTATTATTGAAGGTAACCACGAATGTGTATTTTAATTTGTGGTGGTAACTATATAGTAACATTATTGTGTTAAATATTAATTGGTATAATGAATCCCTAAAGTATAGATCTCAATATCCTTAACCCTTGCGGTGTCCTGGTGACGATTGTTACTTGTTACTAAATTATCTTATAGGTGTCTCCAATAAAAACTACTACAATTTAATAATCAGAAATTTCATATTTTTCAATTTAGCGAATTAGAAAATTTAATCATCAACAGTAAAAGTATGATTGACTAAACCAGTGTCGTACCTAAGGGTAGAGTTCTGACCCCCCTGAATTTTTTTCATTTTACAAAAAAATCTTATTTACTAACATTTGAATACATAGAGTCGATCAATTATTGGTAATTTTTAATAGATATAAATTAAATTGTCAATTTATTATTAATTATAATTTGCTATAATTAATTATATTAAGACTGTTAAGCAGATTATTTAAATTATTTATTCATGTAAAACCCTAACTGAACTAAAATCCTGCGTACGTGACTGATTTAAACTGCTACTAGCAACATATTAGTGATTGCTTTTGTATTTTTCTTTATGTAGATTATTTTCTTTTATATTTCTGTAAAATTGAGCCCTTCTATTCTAATTTTTTCCATTTTTTATAATTATCAATTTTGTTTCTTGAAATATGAAATAGACAAAATATAGTTTATATTTATTATGATTTTATTTTAGGTTTGCTTTCCTAGTAGAAAAAATTATCTCAAAAAACATGACTAATAACTATCAGTTTAATCCATTGGAAAACAGCCTATAGCATTGAAATTTAATATTTCTTATTCTGGATTTATTTCAAAATATATTTATTGTTTCCCAAGATTGATATCTAGGTTAGTTATCAAGTTCTAACGTTATAAAAACATTTGTTCCAATTTTTCATAAATTTATATTTTTAATCTAATATTATATACAGTCTTATTATAAAATAGCAGAGGAGTGGATGGTCTTTGCTCTATCCTGATGGGTGTCCTTGTTTAGAAAGAAAGGCATAATACATTTTATGGAATAATCTAAATTCAATATTATTTGATCAAAAACTAGATTCATTTATGAATTCAAGATTAATCATATGATATATTATGGTATTAGTTGTAAACAAGTTTTAGTAGTTTTAAGATTTGTAATATTACTTAAAAGAGGTGCATTGCAGGTTTAGTATCTTTTTAGGAACATTCAAGGATAGTAGCAGTTTATTTATTATAATTATTTGAGTGTTCTAAATTTTTCAGAATTTCAATCAATTTTAAACTTTGTGTTCATAGYCAGGTTACAACTACTAACAAAAATGGATTGGGAATCATTTTATGACACTCATCCTTCTCCTTCAAACTATGAGTCTATTATAACGACTGTAGAAAATTTTGTATGCAGCCATGAAAACGAAAAAATGGTTTTGATAACTGTAAGTATATCTACTTACAAAATAATGGTAACAATACATATTATTTATGTTTCCAAAGTGTTATAATAAATATGAGTTGAATTTTATTCTTAACTAAAAAAATATTTATTTATTAAATTTTAAATAACTATCCAAAGTACATAAATTATTTGTCTGCTTGTATTTGTTATGAACAAATGTAACTTAATCAAATTAAAAATGATTAACCCTTTTGTTCCAGACATTTTATTATATTGCTATATTTTTTTAATATTATTATTTCTGGTAACTGTATAATTTTAGAAAATCCTGGTTCACATTTTAAACTTAAATAACTATATTATATACATCTAAATATGAAAATTAAAAAAAAAAAATGTATTTTATATAACATATACAGGTTTGCAGAACATAAATAGTATAGAAATGAAAAGGGTAATGAAGTAGGAAACTAAAAATGTTATTAATTAATTAAATAGACATTAAATCTATCAATTAAATTAATAATTTTCTTAACCATAACTTTTATTTAATCACGACATGTAAAKGGAGTGGAACATATTTTAGTGAAGTAGAGAGTAGATTAGTTCAACTTACGAAGTCCTATTTCTTAATAATTATCATTATTTGTATGTCACACTTATAATGAAATCTAATGCCATAAATTATATACCTATTTTAAATCATTCAATTCCTTGTACATCAGTAATATTAGGTATACATTTTCATGGCTTTGGTTTTTAGAAATAACACTTTTAATTTTACAGGCAAAAATAAAAATGTTATGATATTGATTTAAATTAAAAAGAAAGTAATTTTGAGATACTAGCATTATTAGCTATCACAGTATTATGAAGGAATGTACTGTTGTAAAAATAATATTAATTAAATTCCTTCTTATAGTCTGGAGGAACTACAGTCCCAATTGAACAAAATACTGTCCGTTTCGTTGACAATTTTAGTCTAGGAACTAGAGGTTCTGCTTCTGCTGAATATTTTCTTGAAGCTGGATATGTTGTTATATTTCTTTATCGGTAAGTAAACTTGTTATTAATTATTGTGTAACTGTTGTAATTTGATTAAAAATAATACATTTAAGATACATTTAGTAGTTYATAGAAAATTTTTAGGGATTAATAGCTGTTAACCCATGAAATTTCTAAGTTCATAGCTCATCTATTTAAAGTGTATTCCACCAAAATATATTTCTTATAGTCTTATYATTTATAATTTACCTTACAATTATTTATAAATTTACCTCATTATTTCAATAAACATTGAATTATTATTGTAGGTACAACATTATTATTTAAATTTTTATCAAAAGTATATATCGTAAAAATTTTGATAATATAATATTAAAWAGAATAGTTAAATGATATTGATTTAATAAAATCATACTGGAACAGTTAGTACCTGCTTTATATTTTTGTATTTTTTCTTCATTTTTTGCTGTCGATCTATAAATTTTTTATCTTTGGAACACTTTTGTAAATGCACACTATTTAATTTAATGTAGACTTCAGTTTGAATTTCATTAATAASACTTAAACAGGCACTTATTGGTGGAGAAATATGATTAAAATGTTTGCTAAAAATAGAATGAAAAGATTGATACGCGTTAGTTGTTCTTATTAATTCCGACGTATTAGATCTTTAGAGATGTTAGTAAATAGTCACAATAATTTGTTAATTTGTCATTTACTGGACAGTCAGATTGTAGGTCTTCAACAAAACAATTTGATACTTAATCTGGATTTAAAAATACTAAACCAAATGTATATCGTATCCACTTACCAATTTCTAAAGATTCATCTTTATAGAAAGAAGTTAAACCACATATAAGTTAAACCATAAATAATTTAAAGTAAGTGTTTTCCAAAGTGTGTATTATCAAAATTTGGTAGAAAAGTGCTATATAATATTCTTGGGTGAAAAGGGAAAGTAGGTAGTTTTAAAATATTTGGGCGAAAAGAGTACCCATCATAATATTTCCCATTTTTGAACTTATGCTACTGTTGCATATTTGTAATTTTGTATTGATTTATTAAGTATTTTAATTTTATATTAATTTAATTTTAAAACTAAAATATCTTTAATCTTGAGAGCCATTTCATTATATTTATATAGGTATATTAACACACACACACAAAAAAAAAAATAATAATAATATTAAGGTTAAAACAAAATAATTAAAGACGTGTCATCGGTGGGTGGCTTCTTCATTCAAAATTTCATTATATTGTCATTGTCATTAGCTCATACTCTTATTGTGCCGATTGCGTATAGATTGTGTATTTATTAATAAAGAAAAAAAATATAAGTATATTAGTATTATCAGAAAAATAATCGGAATAACTAGTTTTTTTGTAAAGCCAATAGTGGGTTTTATTACATCATGCATACTAAATAACTTTTGTACTTCTTAAAATAAATAATACATTTTTTTTTATTGAACAGTGTCCAAATTTGTATCTTGGCTCTTTTCATAGGTTATTTTGTTTGACCTGGACTTTATATTAATTAGGCTGGATTAATGAGGTTCTACTGGAAAAATAATTCTATTAAAAATTTTAATTTTTTACTTAAACAATATTATTGATTTTATGATAAACTATAATTTATTACAAAATCATTGGTAGGTAACTTATTTCTAATTATTTTAAAGTTCTCATTATTATTTATTTTCTAGTTCAAATTCATTGGAGCCATTTGTTCGTCATTTCAACAATTCACTATTAGATAAATTGGAGATTGTAGATGATAAATCAATACAAGGTAAATAGTTGTTTATCATACTTTTTAAATCATTAATAATTATAATTATTTCAGTGAAACAAAGTGAACTTAATATGCTCTTACCAATACTGAAGAAGTATAAAGATGCTAAAARTAATGACAGAATTCTAACAGTTTCTTTCACTACATTGATAGAGTATATGTGGTTGTTGAGAGGTTCTTGCATGCTTATGGATACCAAGTATTCTTTGCTCTATTTAGCTGCTGCTGTTTCAGACTTCTATATACCACCCAATGAAATGGTATGTTTTTGTATATTATGCTACTGCTTAAATTATTAAAAAAGTACATCTCCATTAACAGYGTGCTTAAATTTTATATTTATATTTAATTCAAGATATTTTTAACAGTATTGTTGTATAATATTTATTTAACTATATAGGTATTTCTAATATTTTATGCCTATTTAATAACATTGTTTTTCATGTTGTAGGCTGAACATAAAGTTCAATCCAAAGATGGACCTCCAATGATTGCTTTACGGCTGGTACCTAAAGTTTTATATGCTGTTACTCATATTTGGGCTCCAAATGCATACATAATTTCATTCAAATTAGAGACTGATAACAGTATTTTAGAACAAAAAGCCAAAGGGGCTCTTACTAAATACAAGCATCAAGTGAGTTTAAAATATTAGATTTACTTAACGATCAATTGTTATTTATTTACTTTGGAAAATTTAATTTTATATTATATTTATTCTAAAATTTCAAAACTTTTTTTATATATACAATCATTTTTATAGCTTGTTATTGGTAACTTACTACACACAAGGAAACATCATGTCAAGTTAATAGCTCAAGATGGTGTTATTGAAGATATTTTATTGACCGAGACAGATACAAAAAAAGGAATTGAGATTGAAGATTTAATTGTATCAAATGTCAAAGTTAAACATGACCAATTCTTTAAAAGTCAAAATTAATGAACAAATAATGTATAGTCAAAATTACAGTGGTCAGCAATTAGAGATCATGCTCTTTTTCAATGTTTGTTTGATTGAAAAATATTTATTGCTTTTCAGTATTTTTCAAACTTTCTAAGTGATGATTTCCCAAATTTTAGTGTTGTGTTTTGCAACTTTTAAAAAMTTTTATAATAAATTTAAAATTGGTGTATGTAATAAGTAAAAACAATTTTCTTAGTTATTATTTAGTATTCATCTCGGTTGTTTTATTGAAATTATGTTTGAGGTATTTCTACAAAGTTTCAATGATTAATAGTACGAGTTGGTCCTCAACACGATTTAGTTATTCTTATTATAATTTCTTTTTATACATTTATGCCCAAACACATATTTAACTTAATACTAATTCAATTTTAATAGGGAAAAGATTTCAACAAAAACAGGTTTTTGGCTGAATATGAGTCTTAACTTGAATAGAGTAATACTGAACATTAAATATATACATTATTTTATTTTAAAATAACAATTTATTTTGAAATAATTATAATAATTAATGTAAAGATAAAATTTAAATACAATGTAAATAGAATTAAAATTATGAATGTGAAATGTTTCAATTCTTATATCTTACATTATTATGTAATACAGGTCAGTATGGAATATAATAGTGTAGTGMACCAATATAATATTATATTCTTATCACTAATAAATCACTATATATGTCATATAATGTTTATACACGTAAATCTATTACATTTTAAATCAATACTTACAGTATAGTATTTAATTGTTACTTTGTCATTCACATTAAAAA